AGCGTGACCAAGCACCACTGGGGGGTGCTCCCTTTCCCTCTCCCTCTGTCTGGTGAGTGTACACACCCTCTGGCAAATTAAAAAAAAAAAAAAAAAAAGAAATGTCCAGAATAGGCAAATCTAGACAGTCAGAAAATAAATCAGTAGTTTCAAGGAGCTGGGGGAGGGAGAATTAGGGGCGACCGCTAATGAATATGGTACGGTTTCTTCAGCAGGTGAGGAAAGTGTTCTCATATTAGGTCACAGTCTACCTCATAAAAACATAACAACCCCTTCTAATCTTCTTCTACATAGCACCTAAATTCCACCCATCTATTTAGGCCTACATCTACTGGTTTGTACTGAGTAAAAATACTCTCTCAAGGGAAAAATAAGTCCCACAAAGACAGAGCCTCAACTTTCTCTTCTTAATCACCCCAATTCTGATCTCCCTCCCCCTTCTAATCCCCTTCCGTCTCTCCCATTATCATCCTTTTTATGCTCCAGCAAGAAAGGTGTAAGAACTCACCAATATTACAGCACAATTAATGCTACACTGTAGTTAACACAGTTTTCAAGGATTATAGCACATCTGTCTGCAAGAGGTGTGTGCAAGACAAATGGCTGGGGCATGAGAACACTAGAATTCTCCACATTTGTTTTAGTCAATCTCTTTACATTTTTGATTTTAGTATCTCACATATATAAGACACTAGTATAATGTTTCAACGAGTAACTAAATATACATTGGGCATATTCACAACCTTTTTTTATGGATTAAAGTACATGATCTGGAGCCTACCTGCTTAAAAAGACTAAAATGGGACGACTTTCTGGCATGACATCCAAGATCTCTTGTGACCTGGCCACCACCTACCACTTCAAGAGCTGCCATTTAGTTCTGCTCCTGAAATCTCAGCAGCACTAAATTGCTCGGCTTCTTCGATATAGCAGACTGCTTTACGCTTTCGTGCCTCAGCTTCTCCATTCCCATTGTCTGGGAATGCTCTTTGAATCCTTCAAGTTCAACCTTCCCAACAATATCCAGGCATCGGCTTCTCTGGAAAGAATTCCTTGGCCCTCCTCCTTCACCTCTGAACTAAATGCTTCTTCTCTGGACCTAGTCGCAACACGTGTGACCTCCCCACTTATCACACCCTAGTGCTGACACATTGATTTACACCATTAAACTGGAAGCTCTTCCACGACAGGGATTGTCGTTCTTGTCTCTGTTACTCTGGTGTCTAGCCTAGGATCCGATTCCTATTTTAAGTTCTCAAAAAAATAAAAAGGTTCTGAATGGAATACTTGTTCTTTATACTCCAAATACTTCTTAACTCACTCAGTAATTTCCTTCCTAGAAGAGGGAACCATCAGTTCGTTTTCATAGCCAGTTGTCAGGCCGATGTTAGCCTCAGTAACTCTCCTTGTTTGAGATTTCCATGCCAGGTAGGTCTTTGCATCCCTCACAAATGTGCACAAATAATTCTTCAGATGTACACACCTGTCTTTATCCCAGCGAGTAGTCTCTTTGGCAGACGCTTTGGTCACTGCCCAGAAAGGCAGCGTGCTCACAAGTCTTCCTCAAATCACTGGTTTCTCACACTTCATACTCTGAAATGAACATCTAAGATTTTGTTCAAATCTTGTTGGTCTAAAAGGCATTACGTCTCCTTAAGGTGCCACTGCATACCTCGCCTCTGCGTTGATTTTAAAGTTTAATTCTCGATTTCCTTATTGTTAATTTTTTATTCAGTCACCAAATATTTTTCTGGTGTTTCTACTATGTGCCAAGTCCTTGGTCCTTACCGGCCTAAATAAAAGAAGCAAGATCCCTGCTCTCAAGAAGCTGAAAACTGGGTCCTGACAGGGTTGCAGTAATAAAGCACAAAGCTCAATGAGGCTGACCCATATGGAAAGGTTCTGCATTCGCATCCAGAGACCCCCTGAGTACTCCAAGCGGCTCGTGCGTACCCATCATCCAGGCTACCTGAAGCTGCGGATGAACTGTGCTGTCAAGACCCTGATGGAGGTGTTGTCTTTCTGTCTTTCTCAGTCATGGAAAAGCAAAATTCTAATAAACATGTCTGTCATGTGTTGCTTGCATATTCCCTGAATTTGAATTCACATAGCTCTTGATCTTTTATGTCCTTGGTAAAAGCTCCATATTTTCTAAAGCGTAACTCATACAATCTAATTCCCACCCAAATTCACCCCTAACAATACCACCCCTGCACCTTTGTAATCAATCTGCTAAGTAGAGTGTATGTGCAAGTGTGAAGGTTACAAAAGACTCGCAGTGAACCCACAATGCTGCTTATTTATTTATTTATTTTTGAAGAATGTTTTTTTTTAAGAGGTTTTTTGCTATATGGCACGTGAGCTCACCAGAAAGACAGAGAGAGACAGAGAGACAGGAAGTGAGAAATCATCTGCCACTCTGCAATCCCTTCTCCTCCGTTCTCCTCTCGGGATCTTAGGCATGCACGCATATGCACCCAGCATGAGTTTAAGCCACTGGGCCCAGGACTTGAACCGCAGTCGACTACATGGGAGTCCAGCAACACAGCCATTATGCCAACTGCTGATCCGTAAAGAATTATTTTATTTAACTTTATTTATTTATTTTAATTTGACCACAGAGGGACAGAATGAGAGAGTGAGATGGCAAGTGAGAAAGGAAGCTGCCTGGACTTGAGCCATGGTCAGCCATGTGAGCATGCAGTGCCTTTAACCACTAAGCCACCTGCTGGTCTCTCCCACAATGTTGTTTAATCCAGTGCTATCTCGGAAACTATAGGTAGACTTGTAATTGCTTCCTCCACCCCTGTACTTTGAATCTGTCAAATAAAGTATTTATCATGGCTCTAGGTTAAAAAAAAAAAAAAAGTATATTTGGCCCTTCAAAGATCACCTGTGTTAGAAGACAAAGTAGCAGAAGGGAAAGGGCATGAGCTCCCGAGTAGACAGACCTCGGTTTAGATTCCTGGCTCTGTCATGTTTTGCTATGACCTTGGTCAAGTCATTTTGTCTTTCTGGGGCCTCAATTCCCTTATCTATAAAATGAGAATAAAGCTGGAACCAGCAGATGGCATAATGGTTATGTCATGTAGTCAACTGTGGTTTGAGTCTGGGATCGGACAGCTTAAATCTCACACCGGGCATGTGTACACATGCCCAAAATCCCGAGAGGAGAATGAAATAGAAGGGACTGCAGTGTGGCCATCCCCTAGGGGAACAGTTTCTTGCTTTCTGTCTCTCTATCTCTCTCTGTCTCTCTGGCAAGAGCATGTGCCCTATAGCAAAAATCTCTCTTAAAAAAAAAATGAGAGGGACCAGCAGTTGGTGTAAGGGCTATGTCGCTGGACTCTCATGTAGTCGACCATGGTTCGAGTCCCAGACCCAGTGGCTTAAACTCACGCCGAGCGCATGTTTGTACATGCCCAGGATCCCGAGAGGAGAATGGAGGAGATGGGATTACGGAATGGCCATCCCCCCTGGGGGGTGATTTCTCGCTTTCTTTCTCTCTGTCTCTCTCTTTCTGGCGAAGGTACATGCCCTATAGCAAAAACCTCTCCAAAAAAAAAAAAGAAAAGAAAAAAATGAGAATAAACCTATGTGTTTTAAGGTTATTGTGAAGATGAAATGAGATCAGGTATGTAATATTCATAATCGGGGCCTAGTATATGACAGGTGCTACTTCAAAAAATGCGATTTGCAGGGGCCAGATGGTGCTGCGGTGGTAAAACGCAATGCATTATGGCTCTGAATCACACTGGAAGGTTCCAAGTTTGTGTCCAGAGACCTCCCTGAGTACACCAGGCACACACATTTCCACGAGGCAGGGCTGCTGAGCTGGGGGTGGGTGGCGGCACCAAGACTTTGAGAGAGGTGCTAAGTGTCTTTCTCACTCATGGAAAAAAAATCGTAAATAAATCTTTAAAAATGCAACTTTCCTACTCTGATGGTGGTAAATCAGTTACTCATTTAATTCAAATAAAAAAGTTGGCCTGAAAGTGTCAGCTGTCCCAGCAAAGCATCATGTGGGCTAAGGAAAATATAGGTCAACTTTCTGTCGACTGCAGTTTCCACTGCTATAATTACGCAATCATCGAGCACCACGCAAGACAACAAAAACCCCACAGCTGATGTTACTGAAATTGCCAACTGCCGTAATTACTTGCTTCTCAAGATCACGACCACCAATTCCTTTAGGAATACAACAGAAATCTGTGGAATTGCAGGAGCCAAAGACAGATTAGTTATCCCAGAGAGTAGTCTCTTTGGTCACTGCCCAGAAAGGCAGCGTGCTCACAAGTCTTCCTCAAATCACTGGTTTCTCACACTTCATACTCTGAAATGAACGTCAACAAAAAGAACTGAATGAAAAAAAGATGAAAAGAGTATTCTCCTTTGAAATGTAGACTTCTTGGCACTGACTCTTGGCAAGAGGCTCTATCCAGCCTAGAGAAGCAATCTCTAAGAGGAAAGCAGACCTGGTGAAATCTATCAGTATAGCCCCTTTCTACAGAACAAAGCAAGGAACACGTTCTCCAGGTAAGTATAGATTCTTTTAGGAAAGGAAAGGAAAAGAAGCAAAGTTACCATTTACTAAATGCCTAGCTCTGAGTGCCGGACTACATGCTTTAATTCCACTATCCCTCAAGTCAATCTATGAGGTAGATCTCATCCTTGCTCAAAGACAGTAGATAACTTGCCCACGGAGTCATAATCAGTAAGTGGAAACACCTAGCTCCGGGACCCTCATCTGCCCATTTTCTTTTCAGTATACCTTTATGAAATCTCAAAACAGTTGTGCCAGTTCTCCCTTATCAGAAAGAATCCAAGTTAAACTTTGGAAACAAAAAAAACAAACCAACCCAACACATCAAGACGATGACCGTTTCTCTCCACTAGCAGACTGCTTTTCTGCTTCCTAGGAGTCCTTAAAATAAACTGAGGAACTCACATAGAGGGCCCTTTTTTTCATCTTAAATTGATTCAAAACAAAACAAAGGTACCTGTTGAAAACCACAGAGCACTGAAGCAGAAGAAAGCATAAAACAGGTACTGGTTTCTCAACCACTTCGCAGGTGTCTGCCAACAATATCCTGATAAAATCCAGGAAGCAGGCTTTGGCGTGACTCCCAGTTTTTCCTCCATGGCCTTCCAGACAGGCGGAACCAGTACACTAGAAAGACAGAAAGAGAAGAAATTATATGCCAAGCAATTAATAATTGATTCCTGGAAATGCGGAATGCTAGAAAACGTGACAGATCAGGAGGAAGAGAAATTTCAAGTTTGTCTTTCACTGTTCATCCCTGCCTGTAAATTCTAAATCTGAGCTTTGACACAGCCTGTAATTATCAGGATAGCAACATGGCAAGGGATATGAAATGAATCCACCAAAAACGAAACACTTCACAGTCCATTATTTTCCAATTTAACAGTAAATCGACTACACAGTAGAATGAAGAGCACCAGCCTGGAAACAAAAGGATCTGAGGTTCAGTTACAGTTCTGCTAACAGCTTTGTGACTTTGACCACAGTTTCTTAACAGTGAAAAGAGGTTGGACTATCAGAAGTAAAGTAACCTGAGGGTTTTGTCTGGCCCAGGGTTTCTTTTTAAATGAGTTTTGTTGTTGTTGTTGTTGTTTTTTAAAGATAGATTTTTTTGCATGTGCTCACCAGAGAAAGTGAGAAGTCACCCCCTGGGAGCATGGCCATGCTGCAAACCCTTCTCCTCCATTCTCCTCTTGGGCTTTTTGGGCACACATACACATGTGCCCGGTGTGAGTTTTAAGCTGTTGGGTCTGGGACTCGAACCCACAGTCAACTAAGTGAGACTCCAGCAACATAACCATTGTGCTATCTGCTGGTCAAAAAGCAATTGTTTTTAAGCAAGGTATGCACTCTCCAGTTCACTACTGCCCCCACCACTATTATCTTCAGTCCTTCCAATTTACACTTAGATGTTACCCCTCCTATCTCTAAGAGTAATTTTTTTTAAAGGTTTTTGCCATAGGGCATGTGCACTCACCAGAGTGTGTGATAGAGAGAGAGAGAGACAGTGAGAAGGAAATGAGAAATCATCTCCCAGGGTGGATGGCCACAACGCAATCCCTTCTCCTCCATTCTCCTCCTAGGATTTTGGGCACACACACACACACACACACACACACACACACACACATACAAAATCTTCAAGTCACCAGGTCCAGGACTCAAACCATGGTCAGCTATGTGGGAGTCTAATGCTTTAACCACCACTCCACCTGCTGGCCCCTCTAAGAGGCATTTTTAAATCCCTGGCTTAAGTTTATACGATCAATAAATATTTTCATCAGGTGCTGTGCTGGATACACTAGAATTTAGGAACTGGATGATTTAGGTCCCTTCTAACAGGAAAACTGATCTTCCATGAACTTTCTTCCTCCTTACACTACTCGGCTATACTGTATAGGTTATATATAAATCTTGGCAACTTTATAAGAGTTGACTGAGTTCTGAAGAATTCAAAAATCTCTGTCCTAAATAGGCACCTGTCATCCACATCTGGCAAATAACAACAGGCCGACATCCCTGGCCTCCATCCCCAGCCAGCATACAGGGAGCTCATCATTGCCTGGACTGGATATCAATGCAGACTAATAGGTAACAGTCCCCCCGCCCACACCCACACACACACAGCTGCAAAAGTGAGGGGCAGCCCACCCAGGAAAAGGCTTTCACTGAGCCACAAGCATCTGAAGGAACTGACTTTTCTCACTTCCATCCATTCCTACTTCTATTATAGCTGTTCTGTGGTGTACTGTAGGGAGCAGAGGCAGAAAGGACTGTGGGCCAGAGACATGTTCAAGAGATGATGAAATGGAGCCTCCATGAGACAGTATATCCAGCAACTTCTCTAGCCTCCCAGGATGGAATGGGTGAGTGTGCATGTGCGTGATGTGTGTGTGCGTGTGTCTATCTTACCCAACATGTTTCTGCCTTCCACAAAAGGATTTAAAACTCAAAGTGACTCAACACCTGTCATCAATAGCCTGACAGGTAGGCGGGAGAAGCAGAAAAGAAATGAATAGGTTTTGAAAACAGGAGTAATAAACACCACTGGGCTAGCAAGCAGATGAGCAGTGCGATGTCTTAGGAGCCCTGCAGAAGAGGCAGAGCTGGCGTCATCTGAACTCCTCACAGCCTTCCTCCACACTGTACAATTCCCAAAGACACAGATCACTGTTAGGGTTCAGTTAAGGCATACTGACCGAAGCCAGGAACAACACATCACCGAGATCCTAATGGTTTGTTATTGAAGCCAAGGGTAACAACCCAGAGAGAGAACATACACCCCCACAATACTTGACAAATGAAAATCTAGAAAAGCTGGCAATAGTTCTGGCATTTAGGGCGTTACAAGTACACCCGAAATAAAAGCACTCTCCGTTGCAGCAGCTGTTCAGACAGAGCAGGGGGTAATGTTTACTTCATGCTTCAGGTTGATGGGGGATGTATCAGTTCAGTCTGTCAGCTACATACGTGGAACTCCATTTATGTACACAGCGATAAGATATGTTTGAACAGCGACCGAGCTCGTCGGAAACAGCCTATTCAGCTGGTGTGAGTAATCAAGAATAAAGAGCTTTACAAAAAAGCCTCAGATATTTGGGAAAGTTACAGAACAGACTGCCATGAATAGCTCTGCTTATATTTGCAGACATTGTTTTCCAAATAGCTGGGGAAATGAACAGATTGTTCTGGGGGGTCGTCTCTCCGATTTGCTCCTAGTTTCCAGTCTGTTAATCACGTAAGCACAGGGAGAGTCGGCTGATGCACCTACAGTCAGTGAGGCACAATCACCGGGAGCTGGCAACGCTTCCCTAGAATCCCGCCTGAGGCTTTCCATGCCGACTTCCCTCCTTTCACCTTTGGCTCACTGCGGCCCGGCTGGGCCCTCTGCAGGACCTACTTTGGGAAATTCTCAGTCTCGGGTGAGGCCGGTTTCGCAGCGCCATTTGCGCGTCGTGCTCAGCCCCGCCCCCCTCGCCTGCATCAACTTTCTATCTCGGGGGCGAGACCGTACACCGAGAGGGACAGCGGCTGAGCGAGAGCAAAGCTGCAGAGGTCGCGGGTGAAAAGGAGGACCGCAGTGCCCAAGCCCGGCCTGTCCGTCTGACTGTCAGGGGATGGAGGGAGCTGCAGGGCTAGGCCCAGGCTGGAAAGGAGCGGGGTGCAGCCTAAGACGCGAGCTCCGCACCTGCAAGCCCAGAGGCAGCTGGCTGCCCCGGTCGGGCCAGGAGCGCCACCTCCGGGTCCCAACACCCGGCCAGCGCACCCCCAGGCATCGCCCATCCCGCTAGCCCCCCATGAGCTCGTGGTCCACGGCCTGGCAGCCAGCCGCCCCCGGCCACCTACCGGGGCTCAGGGCCACATAGCGGGGCCCCGGCTCTCGGCGGCCTCTGCCTCCTCCCGGTCCATGGGCTCGGGGGCCCCAGCCTTCGCTCCCCTCGCCCGGAGGAGGCGGAAAAGGAAGAAGGTAGAGTGGGCTCCCCACCCGGACAGCTCCCTCTCGCCTCAGCCTGCCCGGACAGCTACCGCGGCCGGAAACGCCGCCTCCTCCCACCTTCCCGGGCTCAACCCGGAAACACACCGTTCTTGCTAAGCAAGCCCTCCCGCCCCCCGGAAGCGCAATTCCAGGCTCGGGCCCGAGGGGGAGGAGGGGTAGCACCGGAGCGGAGAACTACGCACAGGCGAAGGAACGTGGGCCCTGGCCTCTCGCCTCCCGCTCTCCCGAGGTAGCCTGCACCTTGCCTCCTTTGCACCAGCCCCAGGCCCCAGACTCGGGCAATACCCACAAGCAAGATGGCGGCGGCGGCGACACCCCCTACAGCTTAGCGCCCAGCCGTGCCATTGGCCGGAGTCTGGAGTGAAACCGCTGAGGATTGGTGGACAGCAAAGCGGGGGTGGGGGTGGAGCTGCAGCAGCCCTGAGCCCCGAGTGGGCAACGCGGCGTGAGCAGCGGCCCCAGGCTCCTGGAGCATCGCGCTCGGAGAAGACTTCGCTGCTCGGGGCCGCAGCCTGGTGAGCTCAGCCCCCTTCAGGCCCTCCCTTGCATCCTAGCCGGGGCCTCCACGAGCCGGCGCAGATCGACGCCGACACACCCGGGGGACCCTATCGCGACTCCATCGCGCCATATCGCGACACCATCGTGCTCTGTCGAGACTCCATTTTGTCACAGCCTTTTTCAATATATATATATTTTTTAATTTGCTCTGTCATCTTTGGGGACTGTCCCCCATGTCGTGATCTTGCCGTGATCTCTCCGTGACATCACCACGCCATCGTGAAGTGTGATCTCATCGCCGCCCTGTCGTGACTTCATCAATGTCGTGTTGTGACCTGGCTGCGGCGGGACAGGTGGTGACCGCCAGGAACCCTCCTTCCCTTCTCACCTCCCCATCTCAGCAGCCCCGCTTCGATTATCCGGCTTTTGGATTCTCCGTTGTCCCGGGAGTTGCCCGGGACCCCTTTCTTCTCCAGCCCATGCCGGCATCCACAGGCTGGTAGTGGGACAGGGAGGGCGAGGAGGGGGAGCACAAGGGGGTAATTCTGCCACTGCTACTGCTGCTGCTGCTGCCCTGCTGCTGCTGCTTCTGCTTCTGTTGCTGCTGCTGCAGCCTCTGCCCGAGGGAGGGAAAGGAGAGGAGGCAAGAAGGCTGCGGGGGCGACTGAGAGCCCTGGCTGGAGGGGTGGGGTCCCCAGAGGGGCCTCTGAGCCTTGCCTGGTAAGCATGTTGCATTCTGACTTCTGCTGAAGCGTATCTTCTGTCTTCTCTGACAAAGAGGAAGGCGAGGAAACAAGGAATTAGGCTTCCCTTTCCCCATGTCAACCTGAGTCCGGATAATCGAACTTCCCCCGTGTATGTCTCCATTCCTGCCTGTCTGTCACCACTCACTCCCTGTGTGCTGCAGTTGAGGGAGATAAAACCCAGCTTCTGGTGTCGGGGCAGCTGAGCAGTGAGGCCAGCTCCCTGCCCTCCCCCCAGATTGGTGAGGGGTGCTGTCCAGCTGAGGAGCAGGGTGCATGGTCCTTTTCCACTTTCTGGAGGTGACCTTGTACCTGGGTCCCTTCTTCGTCCCTAAAGATTTGCAGGTCCAGCCCCTTAAAGGGGCTCCCCCATGGGAGGTCAGTCTTGAGGAGCCCAGCCCTCCAAACCCTCCCCTCCCCTCCGCTCCCCTCCCCTCCCCTCCCTTCCCTCTGTGCTAATCCTTCCATCCTCCACCCCGCCCTTTGCTCGTTATGTAAACTACACAGCTGTCCAAGCAATTAAGATATGATTTTGGGAATTCTCTCATAAAAATTTGCTAACAGTGCTTCCACTTGTGAAAGTGACATTCTTCTTTATCAGTAAAGTGCATTTCATTAAGGTAATGCAATTTCATCAAGCTTAATAGTAGGAATTGCTTAACCTTATGGCAAGAGAACGTAAACAACATAAAATTAATGTCGCTCCTCATGTGGGGGATAGATTTGCATTAGTGACAGTGCTGATCAAGTAATAAAGAAAGCCAAGGTAGAGCTTTCAGTCCAAGGGCTCTAGGGGCAAACAGCTGCTCTCTAACTCACACGGTGGCTATTCATGCCGGCAATTAAACAGTTAAATGTTAACCTCCATGCAAAGTATTGCACTACAAGGGAAGACTGAACTGCTTACTTAAAATTTGTCAGGAAAGTGTTTGACTTTAGGACAAAACAGGAAGCCAACCTTTGAGAAGCACAAATCTGCTAAGAAAGAAAAAGTAATGAAAAACAAAGTTTGTGGTCCTGACCCAAGCACTAAATTGCATTGACTGGAGAGACAAGTGGGCCCTTCTACCTGTTCTACATCCATCACCATCATCCCTTACACTAGATGTCTTCTCTGGAAACAGGTTGGTGATCGGTAAAAGGAAGTCCTCTCTAAGTAGTTTGCACCAATTTAAGCTATGTCATATTTCCCCTCACTGCGCCCCCGCCCCTCCTCTGCAGAGGGATGCTCAGTCCCTCTTGTGTTCACAGTTGGGCAAGGCGCGCGTCATGGCCTCGGATTGCGAGCCAGCTCTGAACCAGCCGGAGGGCCGAAACCCCACCCTGGAGCGCTACCTGGGAGCCCTCCGTGAGGCCAAGAATGACAGCGAGCAGTTTGCAGCCCTGCTGCTAGTAAGGAACTGGCTGGAAACTGGGAGGTGGGAAGAGCCGGGTGGTTGGGTCTCCAAGGACTTAGAGGGGGTACTGGCCACCCTGGAGACACCCACAAAGGCCCAAGCCCCCTGCCCTAGTACTCTTCTCCTCCCTTAGGAATGGGGGCAAAGGGGAGGATGGGGATGCATGAGGCTGTGGCACTGGGGGCAGGCTGCCTGGATCTGCTTTCTGGGGCGTCCCGGAGCAGATGGGAGCTGACTCATAGGGTGGCAGCAGCAGGCAGTAACTAGTGCAGAGCACTTGAGGGCTAGGCATGCCTGTCCTGGGGCTGGAGAGAGTAGCGGGAAGGGAAGTGACTGAGGAGGGGTCCCAGGGGATGGCCAGGAGGGCAGGTGGTGGGTAAGGTAAGGGGACTGGTGTGGGCCATAGCTCTGCTGGAGGAACCCAAGCTGGGGACAGTGGAGCAGGAGCTGCAGTGCCAGGAAGGGGGGGCTGGTGTGTGGGGGGTGGAGGGAGGAGGGAGTACAGCTGCTTGTTTGCCATGGCAACAGGGAGAAGGCTCTGGAGTCAAGGGCTCACACTGCAGCAGGGGAGGTGTTTAGGTGAAATGTAAGGGAAATGTTTTGACAGGCAGTGTGGCGAGACACGGGAGCCACTTCCCCTGAGAAGGTGGCGGGAACGGATCAGAAACTTCTCTGGAAGGAGCAATTAGGGAAGGACCCTAAATTCTTGGGAGATATTAAACACTGAGTTCGAAGCCCCTTCCAACCCTGGTTGTGGGCATCTAGATCAGACATGAGGAAGAACCTCTGACTGGCCAGGTGATGAAATGCCCGAGTGAGCAGTTGAGGGGGGTCGGCTCTCCCTTCTACGGGATAGTCATAGACGAGGGGTCCCGGAGGTCACACCGGTCTGCCTCCAGGGAGCGGGAGAGAGCTGCGTGGAATGACCCGAGTGAGTCCCGTTGCATAACCCAGTCCCGCCAGCCCTCGACGCCCCAGGGTGAGGGAAGAGACAACCTTCGCCTCTTCCTTTATCCTCCTGATAGCTCATACCCCCGTAGGTGACCAAGGCAGTCAAAGCGGGTGACATCGATGCCAAAACTCGGCGGCGGATCTTCGATGCTGTGGGCTTCACTTTCCCCAATCGTCTCCTGACCAGCAAGGAGGCACCGGATGGCTGCCCTGACCATGTCCTCCGCGCCCTGGGTGTGGCCCTGCTGGCCTGCTTCTGCAGTGACCCTGAACTGGCCGCCCACCCCCAGGTCCTGAACAAGATCCCCATCCTCAGCACCTTCCTCACAGCCCGGGGGGACCCCGATGACGCTGCCCGCCGCTCCATGGTCGACGACACCTACCAGTGCCTGACGGCTGTCGCGGGCACACCCCGAGGGCCCCGGCACCTCATTGCTGGTGGCACCGTGTCTGCACTGTGCCAGGCATACCTGGGGCACGGCTATGGCTTTGACCAGGCCCTGGCACTCCTGGTGGGGCTGCTGGCCGCCGCGGAGACACAGTGCTGGAAGGAGGCGGAGCCTGACCTGCTGGCCGTGTTGCGGGGCCTCAGCGAGGATTTCCAGAAAGCTGAGGATGCCAGCAAGTTTGAGCTCTGCCAGCTGCTGCCCCTCTTCCTCCCCCCGACAACCGTGCCCCCTGAATGCCTCCGGGATCTGCAGGCCGGGCTGGCACGCATCCTGGGAAGCAAGCTGAGCTCCTGGCAGCGTAACCCTGCACTGAAGCTGGCAGCCCGCCTGGCACACGCCTGCGGCTCTGACTGGATCCCGGCGGGCAGCTCCGGGAGCAAGTTCCTGGCCCTGCTGGTGAATCTGGCCTGTGTGGAGGTGCGACTGGCCCTGGAGGAGACGGGCACGGAGGTGAAGGAGGATGTGGTGACCGCCTGCTATGCCCTCATGGAGCTGGGGATCCAGGAGTGCACCCGCTGTGAGCAGTCCCTGCTGAAGGAGCCACAGAAGGTGCAGCTCGTGAGCATCATGAAGGAGGCCATCGGGGCTGTCATCCACTACCTGCAGCAGGTAAGGTGCGGTGGCCCACACAGCCGGGGAGGGGGTGGCAGCACAGGAGCCAGACGGCAGCGGGAGAAGCCGCTGTCCCCGCGACGGGGA